TCTGTTTCGTCTTCGTTCCCTGCTGCCTCATTCATCCTGTATAGCTGGCTTGTCGAGGGCTGCTGCACATGACTCCTCCTTGTAGAACTTCAGACTCCTCACATTCAACCTTCTTCCTTCTGCAGCCAAACGAGGTCAGACCGGGCTGGGTTCGACCTGGGGAAGGCAGGAGATCCTGTATATCATCAGAGGAAGAGAATGGGTGTGGAAGCGGTTGACAGCATACCAATCGGGAGGAGTAGGGAGGGGCCAAGCTGACCTGGATGGGTTTATCAAGCGTAAGTATTCACCAAGACAAAATTTTGTTCTTGGTAAGGGACTCTGAAGTGTGATAGGTGTAGTCGCTGCCACGAGGGTTAGGTGGCTGTCCAGTTTTTCAAAACCAAGTTGTGTTGGTCATCCAAGGAACAGAGGTTCCCATGTTTGTCCATCCAACTGATTTGAAAGGCATCCAGGCATGTATGTTTCTTTGTTTGATCCTTGGCCGTTTTTAGATCTTTTTTCATTGCTTTCCATGCCTCCTGTGTATGAGCGGTCATGGTTGCCACAACTGCCTCCTTGGCTTGGGGGAGGCTGAACAGGTAGTTGTTACGTTCATGAGAACACCGCATTCTCCATGCTAGCATGAGCAATGTGAGGTGCATGTAAGAAAACAGGTTGGTAGCAAATGCGTCCCATTTGCGTGTTGTGGGTGTGGGTTGGCCTAGAAGCAACAGCGACAGTTCCCACGGTAGATGTTCGCCTACCAGGTAGTGTCACACAGAGTCCCACCATCTCCACAGCTGGGCGACCATCGGACATGCCAGGAGGCAGTGTTCCATGGTAGCTCGTGCTGGGGGGGAGCACCTACTACAGTATGTGCAAATTGGGGACAGGACCCCTTTCTGCTCAAGGTCAGTTCCGGAAACTAGCCAGTCTGGAATGGGAAGGCACCTGTGTAAGATCTGCCACTGTAGGGCGCGGTGTGAGGTTGGCATGATTTTGGTGTAACTAGACCATTCCAGTTGGTGAAGTGCTAGCTGATCCACAGGAGAATCTCTTGCCCAACGTTTTTTCACCACATCCATTGTTAGGGGGGACTTCCGAACTGCTTTGTATCCCGCTTTAACCGTGTATTGCCACACTTGTACTGGCTTGCTCCCCTTCCATTCCCACTCGTCCGGGAACATGAAGAGCAGGTTGCGGGAAGGGGGCCCATCGGTCATTAACCCGTATCAGCACTGTGAGGTCGTCCGCAAACAGAGACGTGACCGGAATGAGGTGGGAGGGGATTTCCGGGATTTCAATTTTTTGAATGTTCGGGTTGCTCCTAATTAGTGCGGCGAGAGCCTCCATGACTATGACGAAGAGCAAAGGGGCAATTGGGTCCCCTTGTCTCACCGACCGTTGGAGCGGAAAAGGAGGGGATCAGTGACCATTGAGCATAATGTTTGTGGCCGCTATTCTATGTAGTATGCTCACCCACTGACAAAAGACATCCCCGAAGTTCATTTGCCTTAGGCATAGGTCCAGGAAATCCCAATCCTCGTGGTCATAGGCCTTTTCGAAGTCAATGAACAACACTGCTGCATCCACATTTCGTTGTCACGCGTACCTGATGGTTTCGTTGACTAATAGGATGTTGTCTTGAATGTTCCTATTGGGCATAAAACCAGATTGGTCCGAGTGGATGATCGTGTGCATGAACGGCAGCAGCCTATTTGTGAGTGCTTTGGCCACCATTTTATAGGGTAGGGGTAGCACCGTGATTGGGCGGTAGTTTCTGATGTCTGTTTTGTCCCCTTTTTTGTATAGCAACGTTGTGACCCCCTGACCCATTAGTCCTCCGAAAGTGTTCAGATGCAGAACCGCTTGAATATACAGCATAAGGTCGTCCTTAAAGTTATGCCAGAAGTAGACCCAGAACTCCTTGGGGAAGGAGTCCAAACCAGGAGTTTTTTCATCGTTCATTCCATTCAGAGCCTCCCATACTTCCTCCTCCGTCAAGAGTGTTTCCAGTGCTGCTTTTTGCACTTGAGTGAGACGCGAGGTAATGGACTGGGCCAGGGTAATTCTAGCTGCTCCCAGCGTATGTTCTGGCCACTGGTGGGCTTGCGAGGTGAACAGTTGTTGGTAGTAGTCAGCAGCATACTCCACGATTGTATATGCGTTTGTTGCGTCTGACATATCTTGCAAGAAGGGGTGCCTCAGCTCCGGAGCCGTATTTTGCCTTGCCCTAGCTCTGGCCTTCGCGAAAAAATATTTTGCCATTGTACCCTCCGTCCGATCTCTGATCTTCGCCAGGATTCGCCAGGCTTGGGCTTGAAGGTCCATATGTTCCTGCAGCACTCCCCTAGCAGCCTGCAGTCTGTTGTATATTTGGGTATCTAGGGGGTTCTGAGAGAGTTGTTTGTCCCATACTTCAAGGTCAAGCATCAGTCTTTCGAGGACAGCCTTCTTTTCTCTGGCATGCTTAATCGAAAATTTCTTTACCCTTTCTCTGAGGTTGGCTACTCCCTCATTGAACCACCTTACTATCCCTTGTTGAATTGGTCTGGTCGACTTCCAATGGGCCCAAAATTCCTTGACCAAATACTGGAATTTTGACAACGGCAGAAGGGATGTGTTGAATTTGAAAAAACTCGGACCTCTCATGATGTGATGGTGAAAGGACAGCACGATCACTATCATCTTGTGATCAAATGATTTACACGCACTAATGGGAAGAATTTCAGCAGCTGTCAGCAATCCTTTCATGTCAGTGGACATGATGGCAAGATCAATTCTGGAGTTTGATAGGCCTGCCTCTCCCCTGTGTCTGAGGCAGGTATATGCTCTTTGGGTTGGGTGCAGCAGTCTGAAGGTGTCTTCCAATTGGCCTTCAGTCATAATTCTTGTCAGGAGTACCGCGTCCGGCCCTGGGTTCCTTACCTCTTGGGCTTGAGATGAGGAGGCTCGGTCCACGGCCGGGTCTAGCGCAGTGTTCATATCGCCCATAAGTACCACCGGAGCATCATTCGGGAGGCTATCATGAAGTGCTAAGAAAAAGGCTAACCGGTGTGGCATCTCGCAGGGTGCATAAACTGACAATAGATAGAAGACCTCGTCTCCCGCTCTCACTTTTAGTGAGACCCACCTTCCCTGTTGTCGATCCCAGTCCGCCTCTATTGGCTGCAGTCTCGAAGTCGCGGGTATCCAGATAGCTACCCCAGACGAGGCCGCTGATCTTGCCGGGGCCTGAACTGATTTGTATGGCCAGATCCATTGTGCTTTGCCTTTGTGGTTCGACGAATCTGTCAAGTGTGTTTCTTGGACACACACATCGTCCGGCCATCGTCCAGTGACAGGTTTTTTTATCATGTTTCATACAGCGTCTTTCTTAGCTTGTGTCGCTGTTCCCAGTCCATTGACGTTTATGGATCTGATGTCGATGTCAGCCTGACTCATTCGTTTTTCCCATAGGGGTAACTTCCGAACGGGTAGAGGGCTGTCTCTTATACACATCTAGATGTGTATAAGAGACAGGGGGTAGGGACCGGGACCAGCGATAGACCCCTAGAGTCATTTGACTGATTCTGAGAGAGGCTGAGTCGACTGTGCACTTGGCTGAAGCAGCCTGCGTTGTTTTGTTGAGAGACCATAATGTTAGTTCTTGGTGCTGGATCCCTACTGTCTGAGGGATGCATCCAGGGGGGTCACAAATGGGACATCATCCCATTGATTATGAGCCCCCAGCACGTCCTCCTCCAATAGGATCTGGATGAATTTGAAGACTTGAGAGGCTGTCCATGTGGCATTCGTTTTGATTCGCACAATGACGATTTCAATCAATTGTTCCGAAGCCAGCCATTGGATATTCGATTGGTTATGTGACTGATCCTGGTCAAAGAGGAGCAGAATGGGAGTAACCTTGGCCGGAAGAGGAATATCTGTAGGAAAGACTAGGCCCACGGTTCCCTGATCTTGCTTCTCTTTGATCAGAGATCTTTTTTTTTTTTTTTTTTTAAACAGGGGCCCAGTGCCCAAGGCTGATATTTCCAATGAAAAGATTGAGGCCGGGGTCCTCACAGTCTACCCGGAGTAATTGACATCATCATGTTGAGGATCGGTCTCAGCACCCCTTAAAGAACAGCAATGATGCAAGAAACTTAAGATGAAAACAACCTCTTCAACCTTCTAACGGCTGCCAGATAAAACATGTCACAACTAGCTGTTTCCATTTTAAGTCTCTTCTCTACCAAGCCAAGATATATCCACCAGCGATAACGTTGAAGAAGGGAAAGGGTCAGGGAAGAAATCTGGAGATCTGAGGAAATTGCCTGCTTGAAGTGAGAACCAGTCCTTGAATTCCAGATAGAAGTCCCTCTTGAAGAGGTCTTCCGTCCCTGCTCCTCCTGGCCACTTCACCTCACCCAGACCACCGCCCTCGTATCTCCCCAGCCAATCTCTTTCAAATTTTTGAATGTAGATGTAGATATCTTTTTTTTGTTGATAGAGATCTTACCTTGCTCAGTGTGACAAGTTGCGACTGTCTGCCTCGCCAACCCTCCAGTGTAAGACCTTGCAGCATTGAGTATTCCTTAGAGGATTCCGTCTGGAAGTCCTCGAATTTACCCATTTGGGTCCTGAGGCCCAACAACCATTTACCGTTCGGGGATGAACGTCTAATTGGGATTATCACCGCCCCTGCCGGTGTGGATTTCGAGAGCTCTATGCTGCCTGTCGGTAGCAGTAGACTACCCAGTTTACCTCTTGTAACACGTTTTGGGGGTATGCTCTGTTGCGTCTGCTGAACTGGGAGCTCGTCATCACTGTTAGGGGCGTTGCTGAGATCGATAATCTGCACTTCAGGGACCGCGGGCAGGCAGGGCGGGACTACCAGCTGCTGGGAATGTTCGCTGTCCTGGCTCCGACTGTCCCGGGTCCCCTGCCGTGGCTGGGTCAGTTCCAGTGAAACCTCCCTTTGGTCCCCCTCCCATTGTTTATGGTGTGGTTCCGGGGCCAGCGGTTGGGGGGCAAGCTGATTTTGATGGTTTTCATTTGTTGTGCCACATTCCAGTCGGGGCACCTGTTGTGGGAGGTTGAGTGAATCTGGCCAGTGATTGAAAGGTCGTCCCTATTCTGCTTCAGCCTCCGACTCAGAGTCGGAATCGTTTGTTATCTCAGGGAGGCCAGCAATGAGCTCCCCCAGGTTGACTTCCATTGGCAGCACCAATTCGTGGTTACTTTCGTAAGATATAATAGATTGGGCAGTTGACTGAGATGCACCCTTTCGCTCGCAGTTGCCGGGGTCTGTGAACAACGGTAACTGATGAATTTCATGGATGAGTACCGCCGGCCATGCTACTCCTTCAAACCAGAAGTCTTGGTTCATCCCTTGTGGCTCATTGTGATCTTGTGAGGTCTCAGACCTTTCTGTGTGCTCAGTGTGTACCTTGTAATTGTAGACTTCATTTCTGAAGGCACTGATTGTATAGATAAGTTCCCTGCCCACTATCACCCAGTCAACTGCCTCTGGGATCATGTATCTCTCTAGCACTGTCAGCACCCGAGGGCAGAACATTAGTGCTCTCCTTATCCTCTCCCAATGAAGGGGAGAGATATTTAGTTGGCCGGGAGAGTAGTTTTGGAACAGCATTCTCATCAACACCTCGTCGGTGAGGATTTTGAGCCTCTGGCGCACCAGCTTGTTTGTCGTGACATGCTTCTGCATGTGACTTGATGTGGCTAGATTGCCGTCATTTGCGGTGGTGATGTGGTGGGGGGTCTGAGGCGGCATTCCTTGTGGCGGATACTGTACCGCAGCCGGGGGTGACGGGTGATCTTCCAGATCTTGATCGATCCTCAGGGACCCCTCCACCAGGCGGCCCTGTGTCGCCCCTTGGTCATTTAAGATCACCATCTGGAAGTCTCCATTGAGGTCCTCCTCCGGTCCCGGGTCCACCTCCATGTCCCGTTTCAAGTCGCTGGGAAGAATCTGCAGGGCAGACTCCCCACATCGCTGTTCCGTTGTGTTTTGTGTGGGACTGTGATAGTCTGCATGCAGGTGGTTCGGGCTTCCCGTTAGAGTTGTTTGTTGTCCCGCAGTTGGAGTAGTCACTAGTGGCTGTGTTCCTACTGGGGGGGCACCCTGTACCACCGTCGGTGTCCACACACTCCCTGTTGATCTGTTGTCCATCAAGGGCAGATATTCTGACGGCCTTGTTTCTTGCTCTGGTACAGGGCGCAATGCTGAGTCTAGTCCGGCTGTCTGTGCGCCCTCTTGTGGCAGAGCTCCCGTCATCGTCCTTAGCCGCAGCGTTGTTGCGGGAGGTCCATTTGTGATAATAAAACTAAAGAGGACTGAAAGGCTGTCCTGTTGACAGGTAATTGAATTGGTTGGGCCAAAAAGAATTAGCCTTTTTCTCAAAAAAAGGATCAATTACTCCCTACAAAGTTATGGGCCTTCCCGAAAAAGGAAACAAACAGATGCTATGGGCCTCCGAAAAGAACGAAAGAGCTACGGACCTGCTCCACTACTCACCAAATGTGCAAAAGAATGAACCTTGGAAAGATACATAGAGCCATATTTTTGTCACTTTGCGTGCATACTCACACCAGGACTGCCTAGACTCAGGTCACACTCACACCATGACTTCTTTACTTATTAGTGGACCTGATTGCGGTCAGATGCATCCAGGTGTGGCCGGTTTTTTTTTTTTTTTTTTTTTTTTTTTTTTTTTTTTTAAGGTGTGACTTTGATGCAGTTTGGAAAGTGTTAGGGCCTAGCCACACCACTCTCGAAATGTGCAAAATGAGAATGAATTTCTTGCTAGAACATGGCCAGATGCACCCACCACATTTTTGTCTTTTTCACATTTCGAGAGTGGTGTGGCGAGGCCTTTAGTGTGAGTATGGGCCTCGCTGCACTACACTTGAATCTTGACGTGTCAAGTGTTCAGCACCGCCGCACTTACACTTGGAAACAAAGCTTGGAAACAGCTTCAAGAGCTGTCGGATTGACTTAAGATTCTTCAAGAGTGAGTCACCGCTACGCTCAGGGCATACTCACACTGAGAACCCAAATCCGCAAAATATGCGGATTTGGGAAGGGCCGATTTGAGGTTTTGGGCATGGTTCACGTCACACTGCTGTACCTTTTCAGATGGGACAAGGTCGTGGCCGTCTGGAGAAATGGGGATTTGGTACTTGGCTGGTCACACGGCGCCATCCACAAATTGTGCAAGAGCTTTTGTGAACGAAGTTTTGCCAATTTTCGAACAAAATGCGAAAACATAAATAGGGCATTAGTCACCAAATCCCGTGCGCCGCGGCTTCCCAGACCGCTGACAAATGGGCACACCAATAGTACATTTGGTACTTCGGCAAATCTGTGTGATCGGCCCGCTACCCTTTTTGGGGGGGGATTTGGGATTATATGTCCCAGTGTGAGTATGCCCTCGCTCCTGACGGATGCTCTTGAATTTCTTTTTCAAGAGGTGTCAGAAGGCTCGATTCTCAAGTGTGCCTGCCTGCAAGGGCGGTTTTTTAAAGGGTGATTGACCCGACCCTTCACGAGCTCTTCAACTTTCAACAGTGAGCCTCCAGTCTGGGCGGACGAAACACCTTGGCACCGTCGTGTAGCTTTCAAGACTGAAAAAAAAAAAAAAAAAAAGAATCCTTCAAGGGTAGGGCCGTCGAGAGTAAGGGCATAGGGCCTTGGTGCACTACGCTAGACACATGAAAAACTTCAAGAGTACGGGCCTCGCTGCACTACTCTTGAATCTTGAGAAATCAAGAGTTCATCACCGCTGCAGTAAGGGCGTCGTTAGACACTCCTCGGGGACGTGAAATCCACAAGGACGCGCTCGTTCGACCTGTCCTTGGGGATGAAATCGAAAAAGAAATATGAAAACACCACAAGGAAAATTCATTGTGGCATCCTGGTGGTCCCAGCCAAAATTTCCTTATCTCCAAGGGACCTCGTGAGGTCCCTTGGAGCTCAAGGAACCGTGATTCGCGGAGTGGCGAAGACATGCGTCGACGGAGAGTTTTGGTTCTTGGGTGGTCCAGATGTGGTCCAGCGGCGTTAGCACGGACATCCCCGCCCTCCAACGTCTACGTAGTCCCCCAACGTCCCCCAACGGCTTGTGACGCCCTAACCTCACGCCCGGCGCGACTTCCTGATCGGAGTGGGATGTGGGCCTGGAAGTGCGAAAAGGGGTGTG